TAATTGTCAATGAAAGATAATGTCACTATTTCATTGCTTTTCAACAGCTGTATACAATCTGAGTATATTTCTGATAACCCCCTTCCCCATCAAATTCTGACTTCATTATATTTCTGTTTTTAATATTGCTAATTGATATTTTGGTGCAGTAAAATGTCATTTTATGTTTTTATCGATATGTATGAATAACATTTCTGAGTGATGCACAAATACACAATAAAACCATAGTAAAATAGTGCTAAAAGTGAGAGTAGTTGGGTAACAAGACAAACAGTCAGCGTGGTGCAGTGGTTAAAATGTATGGCTTGGGAGATCTAGATTCTAGCCCAACCAAGCCCAGTTGATTTCCAGGCCCAATGCAAGGCATTGATATCAGTTTGTGAAGCCCTAAATGTTTTGGGACCTAGACAAATAAAGCATTACCTATCTTATCGTGAACTCATCCAAAGAAGCCTTCTGGAGAATGACATGTCTAGCAGAGGCCTCTTTGATGGACATCTGAGAGAGAGGACTTTGTATTATGTTGCATACAGATTCGAACATGCATAGAACATAGGATCGTAGCATAATTGAGTTGGAAGGGGCCTGTAAGGCCATAAAATTCAACTCTCTGCTCAGTACAGGACGCTAAATACAGTAAAAGTAAATCTGACAGATGGTTGTCCAATTTTCTCTTTAATGCCTCCAAAGTTGGAGAGCTCACCACCTCCTGAGGTAATTGATTCCACTGTCGTACTGCTTTCATAGTTAGGACATTTTTTCTGATGTTCAAATGAAATATGGCTTCCTGTAACTTGAGCCCATTATTATGTGCTATGCAGTCTTGGATGATTCAGAACAGATCCTGCCCCTCCTCTGTATGACTATGTTTCAAGTATTTGAAACATGCTACCGTATCTCCTCTCAGTCTTCTTTTCTTATGGGTAAACACATCCAGTTCTTTCAATCTTTTCTCATAGGGCTAGATCAGTCCTCTGATCATCCTTGTTGACCTCCTCTTAACTTTTTCCAGTTTGTTCACATCCTTTTTAAAGTATGGTATCCAGATGAGGCCTAAGCTGTGCCCAATAGAGTGGGACAAGTACTTCACAGGAATTAGAGACTATCCTTCTGCTAACGAAGCCTAAAATAGCACTGGTGTTTTTTGCAGCCACATTGTACTGTTGGCTCATATTCAACTTGTGATCTACACCAATTCCAAGATCTTATCTGCTTGTAGTATTACAGAGCCAAGTATGTTCCATCTTGTAACTGTACATTTGAGAAGGGGATTCAGTCATTTTAGAGAATGTGGAAAGTCCCTCCCCCATCTGATACAGATTATGGGGGAAAGTGGTATTTTTTAATCACACCCCCCCCCAATGAGCACATTTGCCACAAGACCACTGCATCGGCTGGAACTTAAAGTTGTATGAAAATGTTAGAGAAATAACTGTAAGAAAGGATACATTTATGAAAAAAATGAATTTAGTAAAGAATCTCTGAGAGAATATGGTAGTTATCAATCTGTTAATCTTAAGAGTACCACAGATTCTTCTTCTATTTTTATGTTATGCTGAAATGCTGTCTTTGCCCAGTTTGATTGACAGGTCTGCACAGATGGCACATGAGACCCCCATTTTATTTAAAACATTTATATGTCACCGTTGCCTGAAATTATATATTCAAAGCAACAAAACCTGATAGACAGATAGGTAGGAAAGTAGGTACTGTATATAGATCTGTTTTATTTCTCTGATTGTTCATAATTTTATTTTTTCATGTTGTTTTACTTTATTATGCTGTAGACAGCCCAGAATAGTGCATTGCACTAATGGCATGGTATAACAAACAAACAAACAAATAAATAAATGCTAATGCTAAAGCTAAAACTCTTCTTGAAGTCAGGTTAAAAAGGCAAAATGGAATACTGGTTAAAGTACTGGACAAGGACTTTTGTGATTCCAGTTCGATTCCCCCAATGTGCTATGAAAAGTACCAGGTGACTGTGGGCCAGTCACACTGATTCAGCCTATATACACCACAGATTGTCATACAAGCTGGCTTGAACCATTGTGCCGACCCTGTTTGGGATCTTCTTTGCTGTCATGCTGAAGCAGGCCTTTGGAACTGCAACAGAAGGTGTCTATATGCGGACTAGATCAGATGGAAAGCTCTTTAATCTCACTAGATTGAGAGCGAAGACCAAAGTCCAACTGAAATGCATGTGGGACTTCCTCTTTGCTGATGATGCAGCCATTGTTGCCCACTCTGCTGAAGACCTCCAACAACTCATAAATCATTTTAGCAAGGCCTGCAAAGACTTTGGACTAACTATCAACCTGAAGAAAACACAAGTCATGTGCCAGGGCGTGGACTCACCTCCCTCTATTACTATCTCCATGCAAGAACTGGAGGTTGTTCATGAATTTGTGTACCTTGGCTC